TATGCATATTGCTGGCTATTACGTGAACAGCAGGATTCCACTTTATGGTATAATGAGACCCTTCAAGACAAGTTTTTCCTATGTCATCATTATTATTACTTGCCTCTTGAAATCAAACCTCATCATATTTTACATTAGATATAAATGTGAAGCAGGCAGGGATAAAAACCAATTTAGCAATAACTATAATTATTAATGGCAACGATTATTCACCATTAGTCATAATCACTCACTCTTTTATCATTCAGATAAATCTACTATCAAGTAGATTTTAGTGCTGTTCATAATGCTGAGATTAAAAATGGGTTCTTTTAACTTCCAGGTAACTAAGTGCCCTGCTTTGTGAATCATCCTTCTGGCAGATGGGGAATTTCATTACGGGAGACTACATGCATTCTGTGGATTTTTAAAATTTAGATTGTGAATGAGGGTTTGTAAATCAGATCCTACACTGAAAGCACCAGCTATGGAAAAGCAGATCAACCCTGAGCATTTTTGAAGAGAAATTTTAAAGCATGGATGCCCGTTTAAAAAACAACATGCCTTAGGAACTTGGCGTGTTTTAAAATCACGTTTTCTTAAAGAACTCCACACACAGTTGGGAACTTTAAACTTACTTAAACTGGAAGCTATGTGTCTGGTCAGAAGAGAGGCGGCAGCTCCCCTGCAGACACTTGCCTATTTCCATTTGCCAGGCAAGTCGATGCGTGACCTTATCAAACCTGATCACTGGCCTTCCTCTTATTTGCTGGACAAGGGTTTTCTGCTCTATTGATTTCCTTTTAGATGTATGCTCAGGTCAGGTAAACTATGAACTGGTGTGAACTGGATTGTTCTAACTCAGCTCCTGGCAAGATAAAAGAACAGAGGTCGCTCACAGGCAAATATACTCAGAGTTGAAGGAGGCTGGGATTCCAGTTTGGTCCAGGCGGCTGCTCGGCACTGAGTCCTATCAGAATTGCAAATGGCTCTGTGGGCTCAGCTAAGTGTGTTTAATGATGGGGTGAAATCCTGGAGTTCAAACAGTGCACGGATAAAATTTATATTTTCATGTGATTATATTATTTGCAGCGGGCCCTGCATGATGGAATTCGGTAATTGTCAGTGCTGTCAAAAAGGCATTTCTTTTTCCTCTGACCATTACTACTGCATCCATGTAATCTGTCATAGTAGTTATCAAGCAGAGCATCAGAGAAGTAGAAAAACCAGCAAAAACATATTCACACTCTTTATGCCCACATCTCTATCACCTGCTATTAAATCAATGATTAAGGCTCAGGGCAGAGCAGGTGTCTCTGGGTGGAATAGCGCTTTTATCATCTGGAAACTGTTGTCTGGGGCTTACCTCTTTCCTGGTTAAACCTTTTAGCTCCCTTAAGTGTGAATAAGTATATTCATCAACGAAATGAAGTCCAAGAGCAAAACAGGCAAAAGTCCGACATCTGGCACAAAGGAAATGTTTTGTGATTTGTTTTAAAGTAAATAGAATATGCAAGCCTCGGGGGAACTGACTCACTGGGTCGATCCACACGTAGCATGAGAAAAAGGCTCAGAAAATGTTAACCAATATTATTACAAGGCAGAAACGGGTGAAGGTAGACTAAAGATCCCACAGGATTGTGGCTTCTCGATTTTTAAGAAACCCAGAAGAGTAGCAAAATATGATAAACATAAATAATAGTAGAGTAGGCTTCATCAGAAATGAAGAACAAAATTCTGTGATGAGGGACACCATCTAAAGAATCTAGCTGTGATTTTCTTGACTTGACCTAATGAGGATTGCTGGGGACCATCCTGGGGACTTTCTATCACATCATGTTAACAAATGATCAGTTTGCTTTTGTCCTTTTTCTCTCTCTCCCTCCTTTTTTTTCTTTTTGAGATGGAGTCTGCTCTGTTGCCCCGGCTGGAATGCAGTAGTGCAATCTTGGCTCACTGCAACCTCCGCCTCCTGGGTTCAAGTGATTCTCCTGCCTCAGTCTTCTGAGCAGCTGGGACTACAGGTGCACACCACCATGCCCAGCTAATTTATTTTTTGTATTTTTAGTAGAGATAGGGTTTCACTGTGTTAGCCAGGGTGGTCTCGATCTCCCGACCCTGTGATCCATCTGCCTCGGCCTCCCAAAGTGCTGAGATTACAGGTGTGAGCCACCACGCCTGGCCAATTTGCTTTCTTATCACTCTCTTTCAGTGGCTGGGTCCTAAGACTTGTTGTACAATGACCTGTGAATTCCATCTTCTTAAATACTTCCATGTTTCCCACCATGGGCTGTTGCATAAATTCCAAAGTTCTGTTTATGACCCGGCACCTGCCTGTCTCTCTGACTTCATCTCAAAGGATCGAAATTCTCCAAGCAGAGTGGACCACCTGAATTTCCTGAAAAGTGCCAACACTGATCACACTTCCCTGGAATGCCCTTCTTCACCTTATAACACTTGTGGAAATCTCCTTATCCTTTAAGGATCAATTCAAAAATCAGCTCCATGTGAACAGAATCTGTCTCTTTCGATTGTCAGCTTCTTGAGGGAGTAAGTGTATGTTTTGCTTTGAGTCCCAGGTAGGTGTCTAGCACAATGCCTGTAGTATTTCTAGATGCACTGTGTGTACCCTCATGTCTCATAGCAGATAAATGGATCGACAATGTGGTGTGTCTATAGAACAGAATATTATTCAGCTTAAAAAGGAAGTTCTGACATAGGCTACAACATGGCTGCACCTTGAAGACTTGACACTGAGTGACATAGGCCAGCCACAAAAAGACACATACTATATGATTCCACTTTATGAGGTACCTGTAGCAGTCAGAAAGTAGAATGGTGGTTACCAGGGCTGGAGAACGGGGGGATGGGGAGTCATCCTTTATGGCTGTAGAGTACCAGACTAGGACGATGAATAGAGTTATGCAGATGGGTGGTGGTGATGGTTTCACAACTATGAGAATGTACTTCATGCCACTGAAGTGTATACTTAGAAATGATGGGCTGGGCATGGTGGCTCACGCCTGTAATCCCAGCACTTTGGGAGGCTGCGATAGGTGAATCACCTGAGGTCAGGAGTTTGAGAGCAGCCTGGCCAACATGGGGAAACCTCATCTCTACTGAAAATACAAAAATTAGCTGGTTGTGGTGGTGCACGCCTGTAATCCCAGCTACTTGGGAGGCTGAAGCAGGAGAATTGCTCGAACCGAGGAGGCATAGGTTGCAGTGAGCTGAATTCATGCCATTGCACTCCAGCCTGGGTGACAAGTGTGAAACTCCATCTCCAAAAAAAGAAAAACTGGTTAAGATGGGAAATCTTATGCATATTTATGTCGAAAGGTCAACCTCTACCTTTGTTAAACCTTTCCTGATGACCGCTACCTTCCCTGGTAAGGTGTCTTCTGCGGCCTCTTCCCAATGGGGGGCTTGTCTGTGGAACAGAAGTTCTCACACCCCTCACTTGTGATGGCCGACTTGTCTTTTTCTTTTTTTTCTGTAGACTGTGAGCTTCTTGAGGGAGTACTTGTATGTCAGTGGACAGACCCAAAGGTGCGGGGTGGTGCCACACCATTCACGAGAACTTTCACCCTCATAATCCAGTCACCTCCCACCAGGCTCCACTTCCAACTCCGGAGATTACAATTTGGCGTGAGACTTGTTGGGGACACAGAGCCAACCCGTATCCTTAGGACACACAACATGGCATCTTAGCATGGGAACTGGCTGCATTTGGGCAACATTCTGTAAGGAGTGCTACTTCACCCGCCCTGTCCCTTGCACTCCCGACTCCATCTTGCCATAGGTACCTAACCTTAACACCGAAAGGAGCCTCCTACCTGGAACTGCATAAAGGAAACAAAGAAACAGAACGTGCCTACCCCATGACATGAATTACAGGCACACAACAAATAACCAAACTAAATGACACTCTGTCAGGGCTCTTCCGGCTGGAATCACAAGAAAAAGCCATCAATTCGCTTAAGTCAAAAGGAATTTATTGGTGTTGATAACTGGACAGTCCCAGAAGCAGTCTCGGCATGAAGCAAGGCTGGATTCCAGACTTAAATCACCCTCTGGTTCTTGCAGAGATTGGCATCAACCACTCTGGGTTACTTGGTCCTTGCCTTTAGCCAAGGGAGAGCGACAGCTTCCTGAGTAGCTCTGGCTGGTCCGGCTCAGACCTTGCCTTTCTTTCTATGAGCCAGTCGCTGGAACCAAGGGCACAGTGCGCCCTGACTGGACAGTCTGCATCTGATAGAGACAAAACAAGGCCACCGAGGGAAGAGGCAGCTCCAGACTGGGGAAGATTGTGGGGAGTGGGGGGAAGATGTCTACAATGCTGTATGTATAAACACACCCACAAAGATCTTACTAGCAGGAACATTGTCTTTTTACTTATTTATTTTGAGACGAAGCTTTTGCTCTTGTTGCCTAAGCTGGAGTGCAATGGCACAATCTCAGCTCACCGCAACCTCTGGGCTCAAGTGAGTCTCCTGCCTCAGCCTCCTGAGTAGCTGGGATTACAGGCATGTGCCACCAGGCCTGGCTAATATATATATATTTTTTTCGTATTTTTAGTAGGGATGGGGTTTCTCAGGTGTCAGGATGGTCCCGAACCCCTGACCTCAGGTGATCCAGCCACCTCGGCCTCCCAAAGTGTTGGCATGACAGGCGTGAGCCACCACGCCCGGCCAGCACTAACACTGTCTTAATTTCTCCATTAGAAACCAGAAAAACCTTTAACGAAGAGCGACGGAGAGAATGGCCTGTGATTGAACTGTGAGTCTGTTTCTCCCAGCAGGCTGCCCCTCCGCAGGCATCTCCCTCCCACCTGACCCGTGGTCTGTGCTAGTGCGAGGTAAAACGGTCACTTCCTTGTCGTGGATGCCGATATCTGATCCCAGCCAGTCTCTCTGCTACCTGTCATTCGGTCTTTTGAAGTACAGCATTAACTTTCGCTGTGATTTCACTGCAAAAACAACTTGGCAATGGAATGACATTCATATCCTCTCTTTCCCCAGATCTTCGTGTGAGCTCGTCTCTCTTTCAATTATCTCTCCTCCAATGTTGCTTCCTTGGCTGAAGGAAAAATGAGCCCTCATCCCACACCCTGCAGCCTCGCCGTAGTTGCTTTGCAGCGGAGCCTGGCCGCAGATGAACTGTTCATGTTCTGGGTCTCCTTCCAGAACATACCTCAAGACAAAGGATTGCAGATGGGCATCGTATTTTCCATCTAGGCGCATGCTCAAGGGAACTGAGGTTAGTCGAGCTAACATTTTCTTCCCCTATAAACTAGTGCTCCCTAAGGAGTAATTTTTTTAGAATACTGATTTCCATGATCAAAATATGCTTGGGAAATGCGTTATGGCATATATGCTTCATGAGGACCCGTTATCTTTTCACGGTGATATTTCTAGAATATAAAGGTTTATCGTAGTACACGGTAGGTGCTCTCTAAATGTTTGTTGAATGAATAAATCTAGGCAACTTAATCTTCGCTTCTTTTTTTCTTTTTGAGACAGAGTCTTGCTCTGTTGCCCAGGCTGGAATGCAGTGGCACAATCCTGGCTCACTGAAAACTCTGCTTCTCCTGAGTAGCTGGGATTATAGGCGCGTGTCACCACACCTGGCTAATTTTTTTTTTTTTATGTTTAGTAGAGACGGGGTTTTACCATGTTGGCTAGGCTGGTCTCGAACTCCTGACCTCAAGTGATCAGGCCACCTGAGCCTCCCAGAGTGCTGGGATTACAGGCATGAGCCACCACACCTGGCCCCTCCACTTTGTAAAATGTGAAGTGTTGAGATATCAATGAAGAGACTTGCTTAACTCAGTTTTCACTCTGCAGTTTTCATGGGATATACTTAGGCGGCTTTCTGGGAGATTATCGTCATGTCCTGCTCCCGTGAAAAGAGACTTACTTTTATCATTTAAAAGGTTACAGAGGAGGAGGAGGTGATTGCAGTAGCACGGTAATAATAGAGGGTTTTTCTGGGCAGAGCACAGCATCCTGTTTTAAAGGTATTAAAGGCCGGGCGCGGTAGCTCACACCTATAATCCCAGCACTTTGGGAGGCTGAGGCGGGTGGATCACAAGGTCAAGAGATCAAGACCATCCTGATCAACAAGGTGAAACCCCGTCTCTACTAAAAATACAAAACATTAGCTGGGCATGGTGGTGCGTGCCTGTAGTCCCAGCTACTTGGGAGGCTGAGGCAGGAGAATGGCTTGAACCCAGAAGGCGGAGGTTGTGGTGAGCCGAGATTGTGCCATTGCACTCCAGCCTAGGTAACAACAGTGAAACTCTGTCTAAAAAAAAAAAAAAAAAAAAAGATATTAGAAAGCATAGCATGGTGTAGGGAGGGGCGCTGGGGAATTCTTCCTGGTCAGCAAATAGCTCTTACAAAACAACAATTTGATGAGCTCAGTGCGAATGAATCAGAAACATATGGATTCAATTTCCCTTGGAACACACATGGCTTTAACTATTAAACACCACTGCGATTAGCAGGGAAAAGAATACACAATGGAGATTTGATGGAGGCCATTGGAAAACATGTCTGAGGTCTTTCCTGAGCCCAGCATGGGGTCCTTCCCACAGGACACGTGGTGTTCTGGCTGCAGGACACGCAACATCCTTTTCCAAATGCATCTGTTGGGAGCGTTAGTATTAACTTTCACAGCAGCTCTGTGGAGGAGAAATGGCTTTTATGTTAAGGAAAATGAGTGGAGGAGAATTACATTTTGGGAGGGGTTATGGTTTCTGCCTTTGTTACACTGATAAAATGCATAGACACACACATCACACACACACACACGTGAGTGTCTGTGTATGTTACGGTAATTCTCTTCAAGAAACTCAAATCCCTCCAAAGACATTATCTCATTTGTTTTTATTATGTGTGCCCAAGAGATATATGTGATTATTTCGGCTCCACATTTAGAGAAGGAACTCAAAGAACAGAGAGGTTAAGGAGGTGACCCCAGTCACACAGCTGGCCTGTGGGCTAGCCAAGCAAAGCCAACACCTCCGATCTGCAGACAGCCAGTTCCCACCTCCTCATCTGTCCTGGCTCTAGATTAATAAAGCCATGAACAGCATTACTGTATATTAACTTGAAATTGGGTTTCCTAAGGGGAATTCTGGTTTTTCCAATGATACTGTAGCATTCAGCAACTAGTGAGGAAGATGCAATTAATTCTTTCCTCGTGAGTATCATCATTATATAAATGATCTCAGCAGCCTCCAGGGCCAGATACAAGACACTGAATTATACATCACAGAGCTGTTCCTTCCACCAAACAGCTCAGGGCCAAAAGGAAAACCCAAAAGGCCATGTGATCACGGGTCACCATCCTTACTTAATGGGCACAACAGTTTTCTATTCAGCTCAAATATGGGGGGAAACCTTGCCCCCCTTCCACTTCATTTTAAAAGACAGTAAATGTGTGTGTGTGTGTGTGTGTGTTTTTAGATCAAGAGGGAGTAGCCTATGTGATCTAATATTTTGGATCTTTCTGTATCTAATTTATCTATCTCAAATATCTTTGGCCCACAAAATGGTCCCTAGGGTTTATTTAGTATAATAATATTTTAAAGGTGGAGAAAGGTTTGCAGGTGATTCACACCAATAGTTCTCAGTCTGGCCGAGCATTAACCTCTGGTGGCATGGCAGGAGCAGGTGGTGGAGATTAACGAAATCTCACACCAAGAGGAGCTGCCCTGCCTGCCCTGACTTGGAGCTCAGGCCCCTGGCACCTGCTGGCAATCCAAGGGGCTGCTCTCTGGTACACCCCACTGACCCCACCCCAATCCTGCTACCTAGAGATGAAGCAGTCTTGTCAAATACACAGGCCATTGCCTCTTATGTTCCCTGGATCTGTTCATTCCAGAAATATTGTACTTATATGGACACCTGTCTTAAAATTTTACCTGGGGCAAGGGATGGTTGCTCATGCCTGTAATCCCAGCACTTTGGGAGGCTGAGGTGGATAGCTTGAGCCCAGGAGTTGCAGATCAGCCTGGGCAACGTAGGGAGACCCCATTTCTACAAGAAATTTTAAAAAAGCCAGACATGGGGGTGCATGCCTATGGTCCCAGCTACTTAGAAGGCTGAGGCAGGAGGATTACTTGAGCTCAGGAGATGGATGCTGCAGTGAGCCATGATGACATCACTGCATCCCAGCCTGGGCAACAGAGCAAGATTCTGTCTCTAAAAACCACACACACACACACACACACACACACACACACACCCCTTTGTTTTTGTTTTAATCAGGTACCATAAGATGTGCACAGCCACAGAAATGATTGTTAAGACGGGAAGCATTTAAACTCCCACACAACTCCTGGAAACAGGGGCAGGGCACACAGGGCCATGTGGGGAAGCAGCAGGGCTGGCCAGGAACCAGGGGCAAGGAGGGAAGAAAGGGGCAAAAGCCTTTCCTGGATATCACAGGAGGCAAGGTGAGGGAGCGGAGCAGAGCTGGGGTTGGGTGGTTCAAGTCATTTCTGCAGGCTCGAGGGTACTGGGGTGTCCCCTCTTGTCAGATGCCTGGCCCTGGGGTGACTGAGGGCAGGAGAATAGTATCCCAGACCGCAGGAGCCAGATAAAAGGAGGAGGAGCCAGATAAAAGGAGGAGGAGCCAGATAAAAGGAGGCGGGTGCCGCATGGACAGGATGGTTGGTTTGCAGGTCATGAGTGCACTCATCTGCAAGCCTTTCTATCTCTATTAAATTAGCTAACCTCAGGGGGCCATTCCTTCCCAGGTTCACAAGGCCCAGAGATGTGAAAGTCGCATAAAATACAAACTTGATACATAACACGATTAGTACAGTACCTCATTAACCATCAGAGTGCTAAATGAGGATCACAGAAATAAAATCATAATCAAAGCTTTTCACTGCATGTTTTCAGTTTATACATGGTTTCCAGATATCATTTCTCTTTTAATCTTCCTAGAAAATCTGTTACCTGCATAATAATTATCATCATCCCTGGATGTGGAAACCAAGGCTGAAAGGGGGAAGAGGACGTGGTTTCCTGATAGCAGAGCTCGGGTGGAAACCAGATTTTTCCACTCCAGATCCTGCTTTCTGCTCATGCCGATTCCAATGAATGTGAGCCTTGGGTGCTGCCTCTGACACCTGCTGTGCAGCCAGAAGCAGTGTGCAGGATGCAGGCAGTTTGCCTCCCACACCGTGACAGGTAATGCCGGCCTAAGCTATCATCCACTAAAAGAATAGGGCTATGGCCGGGCACGGTGGCTCACACCTGTAATGTCAGCACTTTGGGAGGCTGAAGTGGGCAGATCACGAGGTCAAGAGAACGAGACCATCCTGGCCAACATAGTGAAACCCTCTCTCAACTAAAATATAAAAAAAGTAGCTGGGTGTGGTGGTGCGCATCTGTAGTCCCAGCAACTCGGGAAGCTGATGCAAGACAATTATTTGAACTTGGGAGGTGGAGGTTGCAGTGAGCCGAGATCATGCCACTGTACTCCAGCCCAGTGCCTGGCGACAGAGCAAGACTCTGCCTAAAAACAAACAAACAAAAAAAAATAGGGCTGTGAGCCCTCTGCTTTTCAGAGCAGGAGGGGAACATTCCCGCAGTGTTATGGGTTGGGTGTGTGAGTTTTTTCTTGAAGAACACAATTAGAAAGGGGGTCTACGTGTCACATATAAAATACCAATAGGCCAGCCACAGAGAATGCTGCAGGGTTTGACAGACAAGACAGGGTGTCTACCAGCAAACGGACACCATGCCACATCATCCTTAATGAAATAGGTGCACTTCAGTGAGATGAAAATTCATCTGTAGCTCTACCTGCCTCCTCACGGTCCTTCTCCAGCTATAAGGACATCAGATAAACCATTTAGACAGAGGGCCCTTTAACCAGCTTCTCAGCGGCAGTGAATCAAGTCAGAAAGGTAATTCAGCCCTCACTCCCAAGATACAAGGAAAGGCAAGAAAAACTGTTCCTTTAGATTCTGTTCTCTCTATGGAACCATTTGTCGATTTCCTCCAAGAGTCACAATCAATCCCATCAGGAGTGCTTGCCAAAAGGAACGCTCTGTGGAAACTCAAGCTGGGGCTTGTGTCTGCCTCTGGACATCTTCCCTCATCTTTCTTTTTAAGGGTGGCAGGAGGGGACCGTGGTAACATGGAAGGTGTGACCTACGACAGGCCCCCAAGCTCCTGGGGTCCCTGAGTGCCCAGTCGTAGGTTTCTGAGTACTCGTTCTCATGTACTGCTTGCCCGTCAGTGGATGCCACTTAAATAACTGCTTTACCAGAACTGGCTTGTGTAGGACTCATCCGAAGTCCTTACCAACAGAAGGAATAAGGAATTCACATGGAAAGTGGGCCTCACCCTGCTCTTCTCTCATCAGTGAAGTCACCTGAAACATGCAGATTACCAAGGCCTCCAGAGGCACCAGACTCAGTGGTTTGGCTTGTCCGTGCTCTTCAGTCCACACAGGTGGCAGGAGGAACTTAGATGTGGACGAGGCGCTTAGAGAGCAGCGACTCAAATATTTTTATTTGATTGCTTGAAAAAAATGAGGCTTTGAACGCCTGTAATCCCAGCACTTTGGGAGGCCGAGGCGGGTGGATCACGAGGTCAAGAGATCGAGACCATCCTGGTCAGCATGGTGAAACCCCATCTCTACTAAAAATACAAAAAATTAGCTGGGCATGGTGGCGCGAGCCTGTAATCCCAGCTACTCAGGAGGCTGAGGCAGGAGAATTGCTTGAACCCAGGAGGCGGAGGTTGTGGTGAGCCGAGATCACACCATTGCACTCCGGCCTGGGTAACAAGAGCAAAACTCTGTCTCAATTAAAAAAAAAAAAAATGAGGCTTTGAGAGGTGAAGTATTAACCTCTTGCCCAACGTCATACTACTGGGGAGAAAAATCAATTCATCTAAAGCTCTGTCCAAAAGAATACTCATGTTCTCTTAGTCCCTCACTGGTTTGAGCATGTGTCTTTTACCACATGTAGATTTTTAGACATTCTGTGCTTTGTAGGGTTTACTCATTTTAATCCAAAAAAAATTCCTTTCATGTTGTGCAGCTAATCACCGAAATGCTAGGCAACCTGAACGTTTTATTACAAACCAGTATTCCCTGCAGAAAAGTCTTATTTTGATTAATCTTTAGCACTTACAGCTCCTTTCTGCCAATCAAACTTTCCATCACGCACAAGCTGCTGCTGCGGAGGCCAGGTTTACATGTTGAGCCAGCCCAGAAGAACTTTAGGAAAGAGAGGCAGGACTTTTCCTGTTTCTTTTGATAAGGGAAACAGTATGTTTTAAAGACACCTTTGTGGAATCCTTCTTCCCTTAGGGTAGATTGAAAGACTCTTGCTTTAAAATAGCCACCAGTGCAGTAAATAAAGATGCTGAATTCTCTTCCTCGTGAATATATTGCTGATTAAAAAAACAAGATGTTCACCAACCCAACCCGGATAGGTCGGTAAAGCTTGGAAGAATTTATTGAATTGGCTGGGCATGGTGGCTCAATCCTGTAATCTCAGCACTTTGGGAGGCTGAGGTGAGGGGATCCCTTGAGGTCACGAGTTCCAGACTACTCTGACTAACATGGTGAAACTCCGTCTCTACTAAAAATACAAAAATTACCCAGGCATGGTGGTGCATGCTTGTAATCCCAGCTACTCAGGAGGTTGAGGCAGGAGAATCGCTTGAACCCACGAGGCAGAGGTTGGCGTGAGCTGAGATTGCACCACTGCACTCCAGCCGATGCCATCTCAAAAAAAAAAAAAAAAAAAAAAAGAATTTGCTGACTAGCAGATGTTCCCCACATCACGTTTTTCAATGCCTGGCCATCCACACTACCCCTGGGCCCACAGCAGTTGCAGACAGTATCTTTTTCTGGAACCATCCTTATTTTTTATTGTCTATCCACACTGCTTTCTCCTCCCCCAGCACACACACCACATAACAGATGTGGCTCGTTACAAGGCAGAGAGCAGTTGTGCCCTCTTCACGTGTGAGCCAGAAAGAGCACCCATGACTTCCTGGACCATTCCCTTTCAGCCTGCTTGTAACAAAGTTGTTCCTACCTCTCATGGAGCGGAATTGGAAGGTTGTGTACAGCACTGTCTGGAAATGCTGCTCATAAGTCATGGTCCAGTGGAGACAATCTGTGTTGGATTTTTCTAGAATTACCATAGCTAAGCATGGAAGAAAAACATGAACGTGGGCAAGGCGCAGTGGCTCACGCCTATAATCCCAGAATTTTGGGAGGCTGAGGCGGGTGGATCACGAGGTCAGGAGTTGGAGACCAGCCTGGTCAATATGGTGAAACCCCGCCTCTACTAGAAATACAAAAAATTAGCCGGCCATGGTGGCGGGCACCTGTAATCCCAGCTACTCAGGAGGCTGAGGCAGGAGAATCACTGGGGCCTGGGAGGCAGAGACTGCTGTGAGCCAAGACCACACCACTACACTGCAGCCTGGGCAACAGAGAGAGACTCTGTCTCAAAAAGATAAATAAATAAAATAAATGAATAAAACATGAACACTGAGTTGCCTTTATTCTTTCATTGCACACTCCTGCTACCTGCTGGCCACCATCCCACCACTGGGCCCTCACAGAAACCTCATCTCCCTCCTCTTGTTCATAAATATTGGGAAATGGAATGGTCCCTGGATGGGCACAAAAGCTTAGAAGTCAAGAGATAAAACATTCTCCTCCTGCTTCTAGGAACGATAGGAAAACTCTTGATGCTCACTTGCCTCCAAATTCTCTCTGTTGGAAGAATCCATATCCCAGCAGCCTTGTGGAAGCCTGAAGCCAATTGTCTGTGTGGAGTCAGGGTGAAGGGCTGAAGAAGGCCTTTCCCTGGCTGCAGGGCCATTACCAAGCAATTGAACACACATTTCCTATTTGTGGAGACATTTTGAGATATGCCATTGCATTTCACATCACGTTTACAAACCACAATATTTATCCATTCGCCTCTGTCGGCGTGTAGCAAAGTAACAGTTAACATTAATTTCATACTGAAATTTCAGAAGCCTTTTGAGCTTGCTATTAAACGTTTAAAAGCAACTCCTCTTTTTTAGGTAAAGCCTTTCATTTGAAGTGTCTGCCATTACATTATTGGACCCAGATTTCACTGCTATCAGAGATCTTTAATTTGGTTACATTTCTAAACTGTACATATTATTGTTTTATGTCTTATAATAAAATTATTATAAGACATAAATTATTAGGTACCAGATTATTATTTGGCACATAACATGTACCAAAATATAACTTCATGTAAAGCCATTTGCAGTTTTTGCAAACCTTGGAAGAATTACAAGAAAACTGTTGCAGTGCAGTACTTCGCATCTAGGATAGGAGTTCCCACCAGTCTTGAGGTTCTTCTTCTAATATTGGAATGAGTCCGTGCACAGTCGCCTCCCAAATAGGCTCCTCTAACTTTCTCAGCCCTTTTCCTGCTCTTGAAATTAGCAGTTGTTTGACTGTCCAATAGTAAAAATGCATATTGATACTGAAGCTGGTTTGTGAATATCCTGTTCTCTTTTCTTCTAAAATTACAGGTTGCAATGTTAGACTTTGTCCCTTCTCTCTTTTTTTTCTTATTTCTTCATTCAACAATCACTAAGCAGCTTCTTTGTGTGAAACACCCGTCTTGGCTCCAGGGATGCTGCACCGAACCATGTAGATCTCAGTTGTGAATTGCTCTTAGGAACATTGTGCTTTGAGAATGAATTCATTCCATTACTCGCAGAGTTCATCCCCACATGCCTCATTACGGCAGAGCTTAATTATCATTAATGTAATATTGCTTTGTATACTTATTCATTACACACACAATTAGTAATGTTATCTTTCTTAGACAAAATACTTTAACAAGCCCAATTACTAAGCTGTCGAAAGGACACGTATAAATGTTTGTAAATAAATAGGGGTTGGGAAGATACAAGATGATTGTGACAAATGTCTATCCCTGAAACATGATAATCATTGAAAAGCATTACATTTGTTTTGAGGAAACTGTAGTTTCTTTGAAGAGGAAAAATGTGTAGCAGCTGGAATAAGAGGTACGCATAGCATGAGAACAGTACCTGACTCCACAGCAAGTCAGTTTTGCTTCTTGCGATTTGCTGCTCCACTGTGACTATAGTTTGCTGACCAGCTGCGCCTGCGCCTTGTTATGATTTGTTCTGACAGCCAATCATTGTTCTTTTCCTTTGACAGGGTCGGTTCCTCTTCCTCACCACGCATCTCAGTTTTATCTACTTACCTGTTTGAGTTTGCGCTACTATTTTCTTAGCATTTCTCTTACCATTTCTGAGATCTTACATCGGCTGTTTTGCACGTGTCTTAAATGTGGTTAGGTAAATAAATGCACAGAGACCTGTCAGTTTCTGACCACCAGCTAGGCACCTGTTCGTGTCGGCAATTGTCACCTTTTTTTTTTTTTGTACTGTACTGCTTTTTTTTTTTTTGAGACAGGATCTCACTTTATTGTTGGAATTCGGTGATGTGGTCATGGCTCACTGCAGCCTTGACCTCCTGGGCCTAAGCTGTCCTCCTGCCTCAGGCTTCTGAGTAGCTGGGACTACAGGTGCCTGCCTGCCACACCTTGGCTAAATTTTGGGGTTTTATTGTAGAGTCAAGATCTCATTATGTTTCCCAGGCTGGTCTCAGACGCCTGAGCTCAAGTGATCCTCCTGCTTGGGCCTTCCCAAGTGCTGGGATTACAGGAATGAGCCACCACACCCAGCCCATTGTAATTTTCATATACTCACCAAGGCTGGCTCTCATTGGTCATATGAAATTATGTAACCACATAAAAACAATGCCTAGTGCAGTCCAAGGGAAGCAGATGCTACTGTTTTACAGAAAGGGATATTAGTAAACCCATTATGTCCAAGGAAGTGATGTGTGCAGTATTAGTTGGATGTGTGTTTTCTGTTACTGGTACCATTTCTGGATTTGATGCATATATTAGTTATGCAAAATACAAACTTTACTCCACATACAAAGGAAAGAAGAGAAGACAGTATGGTGAGGTAGAAAAGAATGAGCTTTAAAAACAGATGGGTGTGGATTTACATCTCTGCTTTACTTCTTCCTACTATAAGCTTCATTTTTTTTACCTGTAAAATGAGGATAATGAAACAAAGGTCATAGAATACAACATACTAGTTTCTCACTTTTTTCTTCCTTTGAACCAAAAAAGAAACCACATATGTTCAAAACATGTACCACTCAACACTCGAAGATGGAAATAGCTTAAAGTACCAAACTTGAGATTGAGGTATTGGGGGATGGAGATTATTAAATTTCCTTGTTCAGATGAAACATAATTAACATAATCAGTTTGGAACTTTTTTCATGTCTAATTCACTTTCTAGTCCTAAAATAATGTTGTGCAAATTATTGGCACGTTGTTTCATTTTCATGCTTAATTAAAAAAAAAAAAACTTCTCCTTGTACTTAAATGCCTATTTAGTTCCATTTGGGCCATTTTCTTTGAACTAAATGCAAATGAGGGAGGTTGCATCTATTTCATAATCTCCCTTTAATCAAGATCACTACGAAGCATCAGCCCCCTGGGTGATGGGTGACATAAATCATATTAACTTAATTCTGTGTGTTTCATTAAAGGATTTGGTATTTTTATGAACCAGAATATCTAGGTCACTGCCATAGAAGCTTCAATCAAGCTGCGGATCTCATGGAGTCAATGACGTGTTGCTTATTTGATGAGATGAAGATGAAGTGCCGACTCCCACCTCATACTGGCCTCATTAATACATGGTTGCTTTAAGAGTTCATGAGTTTGGAAGAGACAGTTGGGTCCTGGCCCCAGGGAACAAAGAAGAAATCCAGATCTTATACAGTGTGCTGGACATATAACAATTTTTGCATTCTTTCCCCCCTCACCATTGAAATCTATGATTTCTCTATTCAATGTTTTCTCAGCAATCCAAAAAGGCAAGGCCAGCAGCATGCAATCTGAAGAATCCTGCCTCTATATCCTTCTCCACTTAACACTGTCTACCATGGAGTCATTTGGTTTCTTTTTTATTCCTAGAAGATGAAGAAATGATGACATCCCAAACCTCATAATTTGTCTATACTTCCACTCAGGCACTTCTGCACAGTATCTAAATATTTATGTTTCTTTGTCAAATGACAGGCAAGAATGTTTCTGTAATATTTATGAGAACATAGGAGTTGTTAAGAGAAGAATCTTTGCCTCCTACAGAAGGGACATAAGAAAAGCTCGGAAGAAAGGTTGAGCCCACAGTTTACAAAGGTTTCAAACATCTAGGTGATTATCATCATACGGTAAGAGCATTTGACCGGATTGTATGCAGCTAAAATTACTACCCAGCATCACGTAAATGCAGTGTTAGAAGGATTTCATAAATTAGGAAATCTGGAAGCATCTGGGAGAGTGGATGGTTCACTTTGGGTGGCAAGGATGGCAGATATGAGGTTTTCACTGGAAAATAAGCCAATTACACATGCCATTTCCTTTCCTCAAAATCTCCAGGGTCACTGCTGGACATAGAACTTTGGAATGGGAAGAAACTTCCAGAGCTCTGTCCTCTTCCAGATGATCAGAATACAGGTACACACGGTGCACAGTTTCTCAGGGTTGTTGGTGATGCCAGACCAAGTTCCCTATAGAACTGATGTCTGTGGATTTTTTTGAATAAACACAGAAATTGAACCCCTTGGACTTAAATGGAGTCTCACTCTGTCACTCAGGCTGGAGTGCAGGGGTACCATCTCGGCTCACTGCAACCTCCACCTCCCAGGTTCAAGTGATCCTCCTGCCTCAGCCTCCCAAGTAGCTCGGGTTACAGGTGTGTGCCACCACACCAGACTAATTATTGTGTTTTTAGTAGAGACAAATTTCACTATGTTGTCCAGGCTGGTCTCGAACTCCTGACCTCAGGTGATCCGTCCACCTCAGCCTCCCAAAGTGCTGGGATTACAGGAGTGAGCCACCATGCCCAGCCCTTATGTGGGTTCCTTCAGGCCTCCCAGTTAGTGTCAAGGAACTGAAAGTTACCAAATAACCACATCCAGGCAGTGAGTGGCCACATCCCTCATCCGCCATGACTGCCTAACTGACCACCTGCTTCCTGCTGGGCAGCTCCTCTTCCTTATCCTCCCTCATCCTGTTTTCCCGGGCATAGCTACATTCCTTCCTCCCTAGAACAACCCTGGTTTTGGTGGGTTGGGAAGATGGATTTGACACTTATCTCCTGTCTCCTTAGTGATGTCACCCAAATAAAGCCTTTTTTCCTGGCAATATTCAACTCATTGATTGCCTTTCTGTGCAGCGAGAAACAGGCCCGAGACTGAACCCCTGGTGTTCGGCGTCACTGGCAGTCAGCGTTCACTTCTCTCCAAAAGGCACAATGCCTCCCTTATGAAGAAGCCAAAGAAACAGTCATCCACAAGTCACTTGGAAGTGTCCACTATCACCTGGGTTAGGATTTGAATTCTTCTAATAGGGTTTACAAAGAGCAGATTTATCCAGGGGATTTGGCTTCTTAATTTGGTTCAGGAACCACTTTGAGAATCTTATAAAACATTTTAGATCCTCTCCGAGAAATTGCACATACAAGCAAATATTACTGTTTGCAATAAGCCTCTTACTCCAAGTTAAGACCTTATGGCCTAGATATTGAAAGGCTTTATGTTTTAATGGAAGCTTTGACACTAGCAGCAATAAATAGAGGATTGTTGCCTAAAGAAAGCCACTTCTTTGAAGTTAAATGCGGTTATTGTCCTGGTTACTAAAGCAGCAGCATTAGAGATACTTTAGAAAGCTCAGGTCCTTCGTGAGTCTACAGTCACTTCCAGAAATAAACAATGCCACGGGTCTTTCGGGACCGGTGCTTCTCACCCCTGGGCTATGCGTAAGAACAGAAAATCAAACACCTCATGTTCTCACCCATAGGCGGGTGTTGAACAATGAGAACACATGGACACAGGGAGGGGAGCATCACACACTGGGGTCTGTTGGGGGGAATTAGGGGAGGGACAGTGGGGGCTGGGGAGTTGGGGAAGGATAACATGGGGAGAAATGCCAGATATAGGTGATGGGGAGGAAGGCAGCAAACAACATTGCCATGTGTGTACCTATGCAACAATCCTGCATGTTCTTCACATGTACCCCAAAACCTAAAACGCAATAAAATATATATATTTATATTTTTTTAAGAAAAGAATTCTAGAGAAGCTTTTCTGAATTATACATGCCCAAGAAGACATATACACTTCACAGTGTCAAAACTTACAACAAACTACAGTAATCGGTATTGTTTTGGCATAAGGACAGATACGGAGACAATGAAATAATATGGAAAGTCCAGAAATAATCCCTTATATTTATGGTCAATTTATTTTTGATGAAGATGCAAGAATTGACTTTTGACCAAGTAGTGCTGGGACAATTGGGCGTTCACCCAGAAGATAAATAGATAATGTCTGCTCTCTGGGGAGAGTCTCAGCCATGTGCACTTTCACTTCTGCTTGTTTTAATCAAGATCCACGGGGATTCTTATATTCCAGCTCCGGTTGAGATCCATGCTACAAGGTCAATTTATGAGAGTTGCTGTTTTCATTTGCATCTTTTTTCTAGCTCTCATTTTTCTGACATGGTTTGGCCATAGGATGTTTCTGTTCATCGAACACTCTAGATAGTAGCCAGCCCCTGATGGTGCCGGTGCAGAATGAGAGCATTAAAATGGGATCCGAGGCAGCGGGGAGAGAGAAAGGAACACATGGCTTCAGAATCCAACAGAACCCTCATCGGTTCGTGGCTCTACCACTTACTGTGTGTTACCTGGAGGAAATGATTTAAACTCTTCTAGCTGCAACTTATTTATCAGCAGAACAGGAAGCCAAGTATATTTGCTAGTGTTTTGCAAGGTGTCAATGAGATCGATGTTTTCTTTGTTTATTCGTTGTTGTTTTCAAGACAGGGTCTTGCTCTGTCACCCAGGCTAGAGTGCAGTGGTGCAATCTTGGCTCACTGAAACCTCCACATCCCAGGTTCAAGTGATCCTCCTGCCTCAGCCTCGAGTGGCTAAAATTACAGGTGTTTGGCACCATGCCTGACTAATTTTTTGTATTTTTGGTGATGACAGGGTTTCACCATGTTGGGCAGGCTGGTCTTGAACTCCTGTCCTCAGAGGATTCACCTGCTAGAGTCTGCCAAAATGCTGGGATTACAGGAGTGAGCAGCTGCGCCCCGCCGAGATAAACGTTTAACAGTTCCTTGCATATCGCTGCATACAGTTAGTGTTCAATGAATGTCAGCTGTTCTAACTGTTGTTGCTTTTGTTATTCTCATTATTGCTACTAAACCAAGGAACTGAGGTGAGAGATCTTATGAGATGTGGATTCAGTACAAGGCAAATTAATTAATTTGCCATAATTAACATAGGTCTCCTGATGCTTCAACCAACCACTTCCTTTTAAACCGTTTTCGTTATCCTATTCTTTAACTCCTTCCATTTGCAAGCTCCTCGTGAGAATCTATCGCCTGGTGATCTGAGATGAAACAGTTTCATCTGGAAACCATGCCTCCACCCCGATCCCTGGAAAGATCATCTTTCATGAAACTGTCTCTGGTGCCAAAAAGGTTGCAGACCTCTGTCTTAAAAGATACAAGCTGTCAGACCTGGGCCTGACATGCAGTTGAATCGTGGCTATTGTTTTTGTTCTTTTTGTCTATTGGAGATTTGGAAACAATTGATTTTTTTTTGTCGTTAATTTTTGCTTTCAGGTTGTCATAAGATTTATTTTATTCAACTGTGAAACCATAGAGCTCTAGAACAAGCTCGTCTTGTCTAATCCGCAGCCTGCAGGACGCACGCCGTGCATCGACAACTACAGGTGAGAAAGACGAAGCTTGGATTAATTCAGTACTGTGGTCCGGGCAGAAAGTATTCAACAGAGCGGAGTTTTAGACGTAGGTTCGTTTGTCTCCTGATAAATTACCTACTTTCTCCTCAGCACTCCATAGCAGGACAGCTTTGAATGCAGCTCAATGCAAATTCCTAAACGTTTTAAAACGTTCTGAGATTTTTTTGATGGTTTTGGTTTTTAGTTCATCAGCTATCGTTAGTGTCAGTGTATTTCATGTGTGACCCAAGACGATTCTTCTTCTTCCACTGTGGCCCAGGGATGCCAAAAGTATGGACACCGCTGCTGTAGAACATTAAGCTCTAGGAACCTTAGCAAGACTTTCGTTCAGCTCTTCACTTTGTAGTGGAAAAATCAAAGCCCAGGATGGTGAGAAGATGCCAGGGGCCGCATTGCAGAGTCAGAAAGATAAATGTAACATTTTGCACAGGTTGCCTCAAGAGAGCCTCTCATGCCTCCAACAGCCCACACATGCAGGTCCTGTCTGATCTTTCCTTTTTGGGGGGGCCTGAGTATTAATATACATATCTTTTAAAATGTTAAGCTGATGGCTTGTCTGAAGGTAGTGAGTTATCTCAATTGATTGTTAACAGTCAGTTACAGATCGAACTCCTTGTTCTACTCTCTCCCCCTTCTCACTACTGCACTTGGCTAGTCTTACAAAAATAAATAAATAAATAAAATAAAAACATTTTAAGCTGAAAACAAGGATAGTACCCGTTTTTGCTTTGCTTTGTCTTTACTTCTATTTAATGTCTCCAAATCTCTAATAGTTTAGTTTTTTATGTTTTCATCTTGATTTGTTATGAATGTTTTTTAAAGGAGATGATTTTTAATAATGTATGTAATTGTTCACTGTTTTACCCTGTTTTCTTTTAGAACCTGTCAAAGCCAAAATACCATTTGGGGCTATGCCAGATGTTTCCCCACCAGGTCAGAAAGGTAACTGTATTTTTGTTAACTGGATTAACTGGAAAGAAAGAATTAAAACACATATGTAATATATAGTATTTAATTATATATAGTAACCTTATGTAATATATGTAATCATATGTTAATAATAATATATTATTTAGCCTTAAAATGTTGTTAAGTCTTTACCCAACCTTGATAATAATGGTTTGTATGATTCATTGCTGGTCAAACTTACCAGCCACGTCATTTACAATCCAATGTTTATACTTTATAAACCAATTCAATTCTCAGCAAATGCTCCAATCAGTGGTGGACATTTTTTCGTTGAAAAACTCATGTTTAAATTTTAACTCTATTAGCTCTCTGACTTTTAGGGAAAGTCATCAGAATCTGAGTTTAATCTTCCTCAAATATGAAATAACAACAATAATAACACTAATAATCATACGTATCCCTAGAGTTTCAATATTATAACCATGCCTTTGTGTACATAGAGACAGACTGTTCCCTGTGATAACCCCATCCAACCTCACAGCCTCAGCCTCCGAAATAAATACCAGTGAACTCAAACAATAACAAAAACACGCCTAGGTCTATACAAGCCATATCCAGGTTTGAATGAAAACATTCTGGCCACGTTTTTCATACAATAGCTTATATTTCTCTTTTGAAGAAACACATGAACTTTGGAAGGGAAAGGTGACAAGATATCAGCAGCCTCTCTGAGACATAATGGGCTGTAATTGTGGGTGACGCAGAACCTCTTGTGAGGGAGACAGTTATTCTGCCCTAGGCCTCTCGTGACAGAAAACCTTCATATTGACTCATCCACAGATGATAAAGAATGAGACACAGGGAGAACAGGCTGACCCAAAAAAATAATCAACCTAGAAATCCAGAAACGGAAAGGCCCAGGAGAGGGATTAAGGCTGCAGCCAAATCTCTTCTTAATTTTGTTAATCAGACATTTGTCAGCACAGGGCACTTTGCAAGTGTAGAAAAATCAAAGCTTGTGAATAGGGCCTGGCCCCATCTTATTACTTTCTTTATCACTGGGGAACATTTCTCAAGTTGACTTCCTAAAAGGCATGTAGACTTCTGTTTCATGTGTGAAGATAATTATTTCTGTCACGATGAATACTTTAAGCTGTCATTCCCAGCTCCACCCTCAGACCACTCATAGCTTTCAATAAAAGGGGATACACTGCTCTGTAACAGAACAGCTTCCCTGTTTTATGGACCTGGGAGGAAATGTAATGAAAGCAAAAATGTTTCCCAAAACTTGCATGCCAAAATTATTGGTTGGTTATCACTGATTTTTCCCAGTATAGAATCACAGAATATTATCACTGAATGAGTCCTTAACAACTACAGATGAGAAAGATGAAGCGTGGATTAGTTCAGTACTGTGGTCAGGGCATGAAACTACTAAGCAGAGTGGAGTTTTAGACATAGGTTTATTTGTCCCTGATAAAATTACTTACTTTCTTTGCACCGCTCTAATACTGTGACAATGTTGTGTTGTAAAAGTTAATGAGATGTGGCACAGTGGCTCACGCTTGGAATTCCAGCACTTTGTGGGGCTGAGGTGGCTGGATCACATGAGTCCAGCAGTTCGAGGCTGCAGTGAGCTGTGATCGCACCACAGTACTTCAGCCTGTGCAACAGATCGAGACTCTGACCCTAATTAGTTGATTAATTTTAAAAAGTCAGTTAAACAAGAGACTTGGCCTGGCTGTCTCACATACTGGCTGGTTAATTAAGCACCTCGGGACTGTGTAAAATGGATCTGATAACTCAAAATTTGTTCCATTCTGAAACAATCTCAAACTTCTAGAAAAGTTGCAACTCTAGTACAAAGAGCTTTCTTGAAACTCTTGAGTTTCCAACATGATGCAAATCTAGTGCTTCATACCCTGAAAACTTCAGTGTGTTTTTCCTACAAACAAGGACAAAATCAACAACACAACCACCAAAGTCAGGAAGTCAGTGTTGGTGCATTTGTGTTTCACTGGTTCGTTCATTAGTGTCCTTTTCAGCAAAAGGAGATTATTCTGGATCACATGCTGTGTTTACTTGTCATGCGATTTTAATTGTCATGTCATGCCTTCCCTGCAATCTGGGACAGTTGCTGGGTCCTCTCCCAACTCTCCTGATCTCAAAACCTTTGTGGATCAAAGGCCTATTATTTCACAGAAGAGCTCTCAGGCTGCTTTTGCTGATGTTGCCTCATGAATAGATTGGCAGCCACATTACACATAGGCGGTGTGCAGTCTGGATGGACTCTTTATAGATGTTAATTTTGGTCACATGGTCAAGGTGCTTTCTCCCTGGATCCTTCAATCTAATGGCATTTTTCCTTTATAATTGATAGATATTTAACGGGAGGATATTTAGAGACTATGTAAATAGCCTATACCTTATCCCCTTCTAAATTATTCATTTAGCTATATCACTATAAACTCATGGTTTCTCATTTTACTCAATGGAATACAGTTCTTTAAAATATTTATTTTAATATTCTCATTGTCCAAGATTTGGCGATATGTATATATACACTTAGGACCAGGCTGAGAATCTAATCAAGAACTCAACTTCTTTTACAATAGCTGCAAATACACACACACACATGCACACACAATAGCTGCAAATATATATATATATATACACATACACACACAGACATACACATACATACACACACACAGACACACACATACATATACACACACAGACACATACATATACACATATACATACACATACATAGACACACAGACACAGACACACACACATATACACACATACATATACACACACAGACACACACATACATATATGCATACACATATGCATACATATACACATATGCATACATATACACATACACATACATATACACACAGACACACACATACATATACACATACACATATGCATACATATACACAGACACACACACATATACACACACAGACACACATACATATACACATACACATACATATACACATACACATATGCATACATATACACATACAGACATATATACACACAGACACACACATACATATACACATACACATACACATACATATATACATACATATACACACAGATACACACTACATATACACATATACACACATACATATACACATACACATACATATACACATACACATATGCATACATATACACATACACACATACATATACACACAGACACACACATACATATACACATACACATACATATACACACAGACACACACACAGACACACAGACACACACACACACATACATATACACACACACACACACACTTAGGAATATACCTAACGAAGGAGGTGAAAGATCTCTGTAAGGAAAACTACAAAACACTGCTGAAAGAAATCATAAAACACTAACAAATGGAAATACATCCTATGCTCATGGATGGGTAGGATCAATAGTGTGCCAAAGACCACCTGACAGAAGCAATCTACAAATTCAATGCAATTCCATCAAAATACCATCATCATTCATATGACTAGAAAAAAAATTTAAATTCATATGGAACCAAAAAAGAGCCTACATAGCCAAAGCAAGACTAAGCAAAAAGAACAAATCTGGAGGCATCACACTACCCAACTTCAAACTATACTATAAACCTATCATTACCAAAACAGCATGATACTGGTATAAATATAGGCACATAGACCAATGGAACAGAATAGAGAACCCAGAAATAATAAAGCCAAATACTTACAGCTAACTGATCTTTGACAAAGTGAACAAAAACATAAAGTGGGGAGAAAGGACACCCTGTTTAACAAATGCCACCAGGATAACTGGCAAGCCACATGTGGGAGAATGAAACTGGATTTTCATCTCTCACCTTATTAAAAAATGAACTCAAAATGGTCAAGGATTTAACTCTAAGACTGAAACTATAAAAATTCTGGAAGATAATGTCAGAAAAGCCCTTCTAGACATTGGCTTACACAGGATTTCATGGCCAAGAACCCAAAAGCGAATGCAATAAAAACAAAGATAAATAGCTGAGACTGAATCAGACTAAAGCACGTTTTCATGGTGAAAGAAACAGTCGGCAGAGTAAACAGGTAACTACAGAGTGGGAGAAAATCTTCACAGTCTGTACATCTGATGAAGGACTAATATCCGGAATCTACAATGAACTCAAACAAATTAGCAAGAGGAAAACAAACAATCCCATCAAAAAGTGAGCTAAAGACATGAATAGACAATTCTCAATAGAAGATACACAAATTGCCAACGCTGAAAAAAAAAATGCTCAGTATACTCATTATCAGGGAAATGCAAATCAAAACCACACTGCAATTCCACCTTACTCCTGCAAAAATGCCCATAATCAAAAAATAAAAAACAACACATGTTGATGTGGATGTGGTAAAAAGGGAATGCTTCTACACTACTGGTGGGAATGTAAACTAGTACAACCACCATGGAAAATAGTTGGAAATTCCTTAAAGAACTAAAAGTAGAACTACCGTTTGCTCCAGCAATCCCAGTACTGGGTTTCTACCAAGAGGAACAGAAGGCATCACATGAAAAAGATACTTGCACACATGTGTTTATAGCAGCAAAATTCACAACTGCAAAACTGTGGAAGCAACCGAATGCCCATGAATCAACAGTGGATAAAGAAACTGTAATATATACATAGATACATGATGGAATAGTACTCAGCTGTAAAAAGAAATGAATGACGAGCATTTGCAGAAATCTGAATGGGGTTAGAGACTATTATTCTAAGTGAAGCAACTCGAAAAGCCAAACATTGTATATTGTCACTCATAAGTGGAAGCTAAGCTGTAAGGATGCAAAGAAATAAGAATGACACATGGACTTTGGGGGTCCAGGGGAGGGTGGACAGGGGGTGAGGGATAAAATACTAGAAATTGGGATCAGTGTATACCGCTCTCCTGATGGGTGCACCAACATCTCGGAAATCACCTCTGAAGAACTTACTCATGTAACCAAACACTACTTGTTCCCCCCA